GCCATTTCTTTCCCAGGACGTCGAAGGCCTCGTCACATGCACCGTGTCCCAACCCTACGTCCAGTCGCGTGTCGAGTGCTTGGTCTCAGCCCTGGATGCCAACAAGCCCAGCTGCCGCGTCACCGCCCAGCGCCCATCGCAGCAGCCACACCCCTCCTCCAACATCACTCATCTCTCCTTCTTTGAAGTCTTCCGCGCCTTTTCCGGGAGTCTTCCCCGTGCCACGGGCTTCCGCAACCTCCGCACCATCCAGGATCCCACACTCTATTATCTCGCCAGCGGTTCCGCAACCCGCTTCCTCGAGCCCGACGCAGGTTTGGCCCCCTCAGAGCGGGTCTCAATGCTTTCTAGCGCCTCTGCGTCCGACATCAGCATACGGTTCACCCAGCTACTCAACACGTACCTTCTGCTCAGCCAGACCGTCGCCGACGTCGATAGTAAGACCGGCAACCTCTTCGACGTTTCTGCTGAGCGCGCCGTCACAGGCGCCGCCACGAGTACGCGTCTGGTAGAGGTGTACACCGTCTCGTGGAGCTGGGCGGGTTTGTTCCTCGCTGCCGCCGCCGTGCTGCTTGTCTGCGCCGTGGCCGGGATCGTGTTCGCGCATCTCGCTGTGGTCCCGGACATTTTGGGCTTTGCGTCTTCTTCCGTGCGTGACGCGCGGTACATTCAGCTGCCGCGAGGTGCGGGCGGGCTGGACGGGATGGACCTGTCGCGGGCGCTCAAAGGGGAGGAGGTGCAGTATGGGGTTGTGGAGACGGGGGAGGAGTCGTCGCTAGGTGTTTCCTGGAAAGGATCTGTGGACCGTGTGAGGAGGGGAGGTCGACATTGGTAATGTTAGCGGTGAGGAGCTGTTGATGTTGTGGATTTTCCAGGGGTGCTGAACTTGGAAAGGGGCAAGTGGGGCGTGGTGTTTGGATACCCTCAACTGTAACTGTTTTGGTGCTCGGGACCGGCGTGAACGCATTGATCTTATAAATGTATGAAGTGAAATATGATAGCAGAAAGTTCTCCAAACATCAAAGGCATACAGCGTTTGCTGGACATCAAGCATGTTCAGCTCACCTGCCATCAACCCAGTGGCAGGTGACCAAACCGGAGTCTGTGAGGGTTAGGGTTATCTCCAGACCCAGAGAGATGGGGCTGGAGTTTCGGTCTTTGCTTTTCGCCCCAACAGACGAAGTGTAGGCAAGCTTCGTGCAGAGCCTCTTGCGCAGCTGAAACCTCTCTATGCATCACATCTTCAATGTCTCAATCTCCCCTGCAGCTCCGCCGGTTCGGACGGAATCCCGCACAGCAACGCTGCACCGCCCTGAAGGAAGCAAGCATGAAATCGGGGGCCGTTGAAAATATAACGTTAGCGACAGCGTTGCATCAGCCCCATCGCGCGTCTGGTCGGCCGCTGCAATTGGTCCCATCGGACTTTTGCAGATGATCCACTTCCCATGAGCGACCGTCTTGGCCAATCGCAGCCACCAAAGCTGCGCCAAGGGGCGGAGGATCGGGTCGATCTCACAATACGAACCAGGGTTCCGGTGCCTGGCGGCATTCTGCACAGCGCGCTGCAGCTGGTGGGATGCACGCCATGGAAGAAGGGCGTTTTTTCCCCTTCTGCCTTCTTCCTTTCCGCAGCAGCAAAACAAACGAAATCCGATCCTCGCGTTGCGCGCGACAACTTTTTGGGCTTAACGGCGGCCGCCCGCCATGGCGTCTTTTACTTTTCTTACGTGTGTTGGTCTGTACAAATGTCTGGCGGTGCTTGCTTTGCTCGGGAGGGGCGTCGGCGCGGCGATCTTTGACGTGCCGACCCCGCAGAACTACGTGCGACGGAGCGCCGCGAAGGCAACGGTGCTGGGGAATTATGTCTACATTGACGGCGGGGAGATTTCGCAGATGGATGGGGGGAGGATCAATGCGCGGACGTCGAATCCAGGTTTGTCCTTTTGGGAGTTCAGATTGTTGTGGGCGCGCGCTGATGTGGGATCTCGGCAGTGAACTCGACACTCTCAATCGACATTTCCAAATCGTGGACGGCCGAAAGCGTCGTCATCCGATCGATACCCAAGCCCGGACCGAACAAGGCCAATGTTCACCTCTTTACGGACAAAGAAGCGGGCGCGTTTTACTCGTGGGGCGGGAAATGGATCTTTGGCATCAACATGACCGAGACGGCGCTGTGGAAATTTACGGCTGATGGAAATGGAGGCGGCACTTGGTCGCTTGATGCGCCGGGGAATCCCTCCACCTTTGCCGAGCTGCTTCCGGGCGAGTACGCCGCTGTCACCACGGCCGGAGAGTCGGGGTATGTCATCGGCGGGATTGCGTCAGGATGGACACAGATTTTCAGGGCGAGGAACCAGGTGATTCCCGGCATGGCCAAGTTCAACATGAAGACGAAGCTATGGGAGAACGGGACCACGAGTCCGTTCAACACACTCAGCGGCGCCACGGCTGAGTTTGTGCCGCCTTTTGGACCGAACGGGCTGATCATGATGTTTGGAGGATGGTCGCCGGATGTCGTGGGCGAGCCCAATGTCACGACGTCCACGCACTGGGGTTTCGACAACCTCACATTTTTCGATCCCGAGACCAAGCAGAATTACTGGCAAAAGGCGACCGGAGACGTTCCGCCGCATCCCAGGACGAGGCACTGTACCGTGGGGTTCCAGAGGGAGGGAGGATATGACATGTGGGTTACCCCTGAATTCAGGGGTCGAACGTTGCTGACATGACCAAGCTTCCTCTATGGCGGGATCAATCAACGAGATAGGACGACATACAACGATGCATACGTCCTCAGTCTCCCCGGTTTCGTGTGGACCAAGGTTACCGAGAGTCCTGGCGGTCGACGAGCCGAGCAGACATGTGTTTCGGTCGGCAAGCGCCAAGTTCTCAGCATAGGTGGTTTGAACCCGTATCTGAACCCGTGGACGACGCAGGATCCGTTGGCACAGGGCCTTGCGATATTTGACATGGTGGATCTGAAATGGACGGATTCGTACAATGCCGACGCGGCAGCGTACAACGCCTCTCAGCCGGTGACGGAATGGTATTCGAAGGGGTCACTGGCCAGCGTGACATGGTCGTCAGGGGACGTCCAACGGTTGTTTTCCACCGCCACGGAGGGTAAGCTTGCCACATCTTTTTGACCCAGGCCGACCAGTAGCTAATACCATCAACAGGAAATGGTGATGGCCAAGGTCCGGGCAGTCCCAACCAGCCAGGCTCGACTGAAAGCAGCTCAACGCCTGTGGCCGCCATCGCCGGAGGTGTGGTCGGTGGCGTGGTCGCGCTGGTCGCCATCGGTGCACTGGTGTGGTTCCTGATGCGGCGCAAGAAGAAGGCGCAGGATATCGGGTCCGCGGCGGCTGCTCCAACCAGCTACAACGGACATGGGGGGCCGAACGAGATGAGCTCAGAAACGAAGTACGTACAGTCGCCAGCGCCACCATACCACGAGGTTGGCGGACACAATCATCACGAACTCTACAGCCAGGGCACCCCTTCACCACGCCCGCTCGACAAGCCACAGCCGGGTGTGAACCAGTACAGCGAGCTTTACACACCGGAGCAAATGAACCACGCAGTCGAGTTGGATGCGAGTATGCCGCAGAGGAGGTGATGGGGCGATGCACTCCATTTCTTGGATAGGGAAGAGTTATATTAATTGTAAATAGCGGGATAAAATAGAGCCTCTGGATATTTCAACTCGTTTGCCTTTTCGGTCCTTGTATCATTGCCGTTGCCTCCTCCCCATTCTTGTCAGAAACCATGGCCATGTAGTAGGGGTCCTCCCTTGTGTCACCTGCCTCGGCCCTCGATGCCGTCGAAGGGGAGGCTGTGCAGGATATCGAATTCTTGCAAGGGACCAATCATGGGCATCTGACGGCTGACTGATGTCCAACTGCTGCACGCGGGGGAGCTTAGAGGTGCAATGACAAAATTGACTAAGCCCCTTCATTCGGTTTGATGATTGGCCAGCCCCTTTTTCAGCTCTGCATAGAGGCTAGAAGATGTCAGCACGAGGCCTCGCCTTGTGTTACTGAACCCCACCAGAACGCTCATAGGGGCCGAGGGGGCGGATTACGGCCAACATGAGGCTTGGAAATCAGGGACAGGAGTACAGACCACGCACAACATGATATAAAGACGGCTCTTGGCAAACCTCTTCTCTACCAGTTCCAGAGCTCTCCATCACTTGCGATCCATCACCAATCACCACAAGAGCAAACTTCCACCTTACCCCCGCACCCTCTCCAGCTTAAGCCCAAAGTTAGAAGAAACTGCCCACAATGCGCACCCTCACCTTCACGTTCCTCTCCCTAACCCTCTTCCACTCCGTCCTCGCCCAGCGAGGCTTCCACCTCCTCGACCGCCAAGCCTCCTGGATGCACAAAACCCCCGCCGACGCCTGCCCCAATCGCGTCGACTGCGCCGAAATCAGAGAACCCTTTGATGACGACGGCGTCTGGCTGGTCCCCGCCAACAACTTCAACTGCGGCGTTCTCCAAGACAGAGTAATTCCTCCCCTTTCCCTTCCCCCCATCCCATCATACCTTCCCCTATCCACAACCCCTCTCTAACCCCCGCACAGAACTACTTTGAAGGTCTCGCCCACACATCGCAAATCGGCCACGGCACCACCCTCAAAGGCCAATGCGGCTCCTCCTCGCTGACCTTCTACCCCGTCGACAACGGCCAGGGCTTGGAAGTGTGGGAGTCCAACGGGTCGAGGTTCTACGGAAAGTGCTATCGCCAGGAGCCGGGGAAGGGGTTGGACTGTGGGAATCCGCAGGGCTTCGGGTGCAGTCATCCGCTTTCCGGGCCGGCGCTGCCGAATAGCTGTCGGATTCGCGCGACGGATGTTTGGGTTTGTCCGGTGGATTTGTGTGGGTGAGGGAAGAAAGGGGGTGTTGGTCAGGGGGAGGGGGAGAAACGAAAGGTAAAGGGGGGAAAAGGGGGGGGGGTGATGGTCTTGTGCGCTGGGCAAAAAAGAGAGTTGGGCGGGCTGGGGTTCGAACCCAGGCCTTTCGCAAAGCGTTTTTACGCTTTAAACCAACGCTGATAGCGTTTAAGAACGCGCTGAACCACTACGCTACCCGCCCTGTAGATGCTGTTGGTTGGGCTGTCGTTTGTGTCGTTGATAAGGTCCGGTTGTGGCGTTTCACATGCAAAAGTGCATGCGGATAAAGTGGGTTTGCAGTGGAATAGGCGTAAGAAGAAGAGGTGCCTGAAACTCATGTATAAAATGTCTCTTCGAGTCTCTTCAAGTGCTTTGCTTAGGTCGCCATCGTCCGTAAAGGACGGAGCTTGCGAATAGTTTAATCTTCAAATTGAGCCATGCTCCGCCCATTCGTCCCATACGGCATTACGGTCATCCCTGAAACTGCAAACTACCTCTGACGCAACTGACTTCAGAGACAATGAATCTTGGTGTCCTCAAGGGAAAGGTACCCGGCGCGGCGCATCGGGAGCAACCGCTTGGTTTGGTAATTTCTCCAGCGTTCGTGGCGTCCTGCAGGAGTCGGCTCTCTGTGACGCGATTGGCCGAACGCCATGCAACCGCGAGCAAGATAAACAGCGCAAACTTGCTCATTGCAACCGTGCTCCCCCACGTTCAGTTGCGCAGACAATGCAGAAGCCAGCAGTGTTGGAATGCAAGGTGCGATATCCGACGCTGCGAGGTGTTGCAGCCGATTTCCATGTCTTGAGCGGAGGAAGTTGTGTTTGTTTTGTTGTTTTGCAAGACCTGAGATACGAAATGATGGCGGCATTAGCGCTAACGGCGATCTGCCTTGGAACGCGCTAACATCGGGGCGATGTGTCATGCAAACTTGCTCTTTTCAGCTCGGAGGCGCTGTGAGGCTGACTGGGGCGCTGACGGGGGCGCTGCCAGCTGCCCCAAACGGTCAGGGGAGTTTAATGAGCATGTCTCGCTTCCTGACCAACAGTCAAATTGACACGATGTCCCACGAACGCGCGTCAAGTTTTGAGTTTGTGACGGATCTCAACTTGACATTTCGACAACGGTGAAGGCATCAGATGAGACAATAAGCCAACGCCATGTCCATGTCAACAAACCAACACAACGAACACGCAAACATGGATCACAACAGCGGCAGCAACAGCGGCACAATGTCCATGGGAATGACATTCCACCTCGCCACAAACACACCTCTCCTCCTCCCCTCATGGCAGCCCAGCAACGTCGGCGAATACGCGGCATCATGTCTCTTCCTCATCGCCTTAGCCGCTCTCACGCGCATTCTTATTGCCATTCGACCCATTCTCGACGTGTCCAGCTGGCGGAGGGAGTACAAATACCACCGCCAACTGCAGCACGAACCCGCAGAAAAGGAACATGAAGGCCACAATCATGTCGAGGGAGACACCGAAGCTGCGCAAAAGGGGAATCATCTCCCGCCCCCGGAAAAGCGAAGGAGCGGGTGGGCTGCCATCACGCTGGCCGTGAGGGACCATTGGGAGAATGCAGCGCTGTCGTCAAGGGTGTCGAGGGCGGGATTCGACATGTTGATTGCTGGATTGGGGTATTTGGTGTAAGCTTTACTTTCCTTTGTCCTTGCTCTTGAAAGTTGCTAACGAGACGGTGGCAGAATGTTGGCAGTCATGACGATGAACGTTGGGTACTTTCTCTCTGTCTTGGGCGGTGTCTTTCTTGGGACGTTTCTGTTGGCCGTGCCGATGGGGGCTGATGCGCATAACAGCAGCCAGGAGGACTGCGGGTAGTACCTAGTCTTGACCATTGTGTAAGATACTTTTGTGCCGGGAGGGACTAAAACACAATAGCGTAATGATAATTTTTGACAAGGGACATATGCTTTGGTGCAGACACTTGAGCAAGTATTCGGACGCTAGGCGTCCTTCGGCACGCGGCACACGGATCCCGCCGCTTGTGTTTCCGACATGTCACGGATCCCAGCCCCGACGTGAGTGCTTGCGGCCTTTACGTGGGGGAAACGCGGGGACTGGCCGGCCCGGAGAGCTTCCCCACGCGGAAAGGAGCCAACAGAAAGCGTACCAGGAATCGTGCAGCATGCTCATCGCCAAAGAGCAAGTCAGAACCCCTCACATTGTTACATTTTCTGTCTCTCTTGTATCCGGGCTCTCCGACCGCTCCCCGTTGATCCGAAGTCGATTCCAAGTCTCAGCGTCCGACAAGGTCCTTGGACGAGACAAGAGCGAACAACAAGAACCAGATGCCCGTCATCGACGGCCAGAAGGTGGCTTGGTAAGCCTCCCTCTTCCAACCCCCAAACACCCACCAGCTTCCCTAACGGTCTCGCTTCCATTTAGCTGGCCATGCATCCGAGGCCATCGTTCTGGCACTTGTGCCCACCGAGGGAAACGACCGATGACGGCGGTGCGCCGAGCCGGCCGACCTCTAACAACATGCCCACATGCTCCCGGCGCTCGATGCGATTGTCGACCCGGAGCCATCGCCGCCGCAGCATCCACTACACCGCTGGAAACCGCTCGCGCGCGACCTGCTGGACACATTTGGGGCGCAGCCAGGGCAGGCACGGGGTCCACTTTGACGGCCGCTGAGCCAGCCCCTGAACTTACCCCTGAGTGGATAACAAGTCCTGCCCCCGACAAGACCGACAGCACTCCTTTCTCCATGATGTCGTTACCATACGTCCCGTCCCATAGCCAAGGCTCAAGATCGACGTCTCTAGATGCTGGGTTTGAGGTGGCCATCGGCGCTTCAACAGCGTTCCAACCGAGTGTCGACCCCTATCCCAGCTGGGCAACATCACAAACCAGTGACACGCTGCAACAATATCCCAGTTACACAACGAACGCAACATCAGCGAACACAGAACAATCCACGGTCGACTCATATTCAACACCTACCGCCTTTCTGACAAACTACACCACCACATGGTCGCCGTCGACGGACTCGACGCCACCCAGCCACTACACATCCTTCACCGACCTCTTCGAATCCGCCGATCCCCTCCTCGAAGACCCCAACACACAGGAAGACGACATCACCTGGACGACATGGAAAGACGACCCACAACCCCGATCATATTATTAGCCGACACACACACATCCATTCCCATCCTCCGCTCACAACCATCCCATCCAGCCTACACCACCGCCTACCACCCCCCCTTATCCATACACTCGGACCTCACACTCGCGCCCAAACACGACCCGGGCCCCTTCTCCGGCGTCGCCTTGTCCTTCCACACGGAATACGGCGGTCCCACGCGGTTCACCACGATCGCGTCCCGCGGTCGAAGGAGCAAGTGGTCTGCTTTGGCCTGGTAGTCCTTGAAGTACTGCTTCTTCAGCTGGACGTTGAAGAGCCATTCTTTGGTGCAGTCCCTGGTTTGTGTTAGTCTCTTGCCGAGGTGGTGGGGAGTAGAGGTTCAAAACGGGGAAAGGGGGGGAAGAAATGGGAGGAGAGAAGGGTGAGAAGGGAAGGGGGAACGCACCAGTGCTCGACCCAGGAGATGGTACCTGGGTCTTCAGCGGATTGGTAGACCTCGAAGAAGCGGAGCTCGGGCTCGGCGACGACTGCCTCGTAGAGGGGCTTGAAGTGCTCGAAGAATTCGGTGGTGTTTTTGGGGTCAATGTGGACCGTTACTTGGAGGGAGATGCCGTGGGATACCATCTTGGCGTTATTACTCCAAAAAATTTTGGGTTGTGGTATGGGGTGATGTTAAAGATTCAATGACGTTTGGCGGTTCTGTTTGGGAGCCGCGTTGTCTTTGTACCGGTCGAGCTTCGAGGTTGCACGGTGCTGACTGAGCGAGGTTGTGGCTGCAGGGTCGCCGAACAAAGACACGATTTGCAGCGATGGAGGTGCCCGCATGCGGTAAATCATGATCACAATGGCAATGTATGGCATTTTGGGTTATTATAAGCTCCATGCAAGATTGTCCCATCCCTCGACATTCAACGCCGCGGAGAAGAGGCGCATGCATGGTCTCGGCCGTGATGACTATTGCGAAAATGCTGACTGAGCGGCTGCATTTGATCATTTGTCAACACGAATGCTCCGACCGAAATGCGAAAAACGCCATGTAATGTGTGTATTGCCAAAGGCGTGAGGGGCACAATGTCGAGGGAAGCTGTGGTTATGTTATCAGGGCGGGTGAAATTTACCCCTGAATTGATCTTGCGGCCCGGCTTTGAGGGGACGCGTCGGGTGAACAACTTGAGCCTCCCTGGCAATTAACAGATGATCCGATGAAAAAGTCCAAATGTGGATTGAACTTCGGGGCCAACTTGAAGATGAAAATGTCGACCCAAGGGCGCATCCCAGTAAAGGGGCAAACGGTCTGGTCATCTTGCACTGATCCATCTACCCACACCTTGGGAATTCACCAACGTAGTCTAGGTATTTATCTACAAATGGAAGGTGAGGGCGTTTCTGTGATTGGCCCATCGCGACCAATCTGTTGTTTCCATGCATGGACCTTGTGGAAGGTGAAGCAGTTGCCAACCCCGCAGGCCAAGAACCAGACCGTTGAGCTCCGCCGGACAATCCCTTCATCCATCTCTTCACACGTGGGTGACAACCTCGACAACCTCACTAATGCACCTTGTGAAACACAAACACAATGACACAAGCCCACTGCACCCCTGATCCCACCATTCCCCTCACACCCACAACCTCCCCCTCACCCGCTGCACTGTGCACCGCAACAATCAAGTACATCGTCACCATATGCACCACAACAGGCCAGCCCGCCGCCCCCCCAAGTCTCCTGGCAAACAGCATGGTGGGCCCTCGTCCCCCTCGCCATCGGCGCCATGGTCCAACCCTGCGGCAAAGTCCTAGGATCCAACGACAAAAACACGCGCTTTTACCTACGAGCCTCACCTCTCATGTGCATAGTCGACTGTCTGCACTTTGCCACGCTGATTCTCCGCGGTATGAGTCGCGATCTCGGCGTATTCCGGAGGAATGTCAAGTATGAGCTTCATCGTCGGTTCGACGACGAGATGATGGCTGAGACCAACGGCCGTGCCGAGTCGTCGGGGCTTGTTCGGCTGGCTTTGCTCGTTATTTCGGGTATACCATGCCAAACAGTCAAGCTTGTGGGCATGAGGGGAGTCGTTTGGACGC